AGATAGTGAATACTCCCACCAGAGGCCGAAATATATTAGACATCTTCGCTACAAACCGACCGTCACTCGTACAAGAATGCAAGCTGCTACCCGGACTCAGCGACCACGATGTCGTTATCACTTCATCGAACATCCGAGCTCCCTACAGAAAGCCAGTGCACAGACAAGTTCACCAATGGAAAGCCGTAGATCACGAACAAATGAAACAAGATCTCTCGAACTTTGCGGACACTTTCACCGACATGTACACATGTGACACAAACGTACAACATATGTGGGACACGTTTAAGCGAATCTGTCATGCTTCTATAGCCAAAAACGTTCCTACAAAGCGGGTCTCTCAGAGATACCACCAGCCATGGGTCACCAGAAGAATGAAATGCATCTCAAAGGCCAAGCAGAGAGCATACAACAAGGCAAAGGCAAGTGGGCTTATAGGGGACTGGGAACGGTTCAAAGAACTAAAGCGAGATATGCAGAGGGAATGTCGATCTGCATTTAATAACTACATGCTGACTATCGTCACCGAAGACGGCAGGAATGTGAACAAAAAGTTCTGGTCCTACATCAAATCCACAAGGACCGAACAATCCGGAATTACCAAGCTGATGCGCGATGGCATACCTTACTCGGACAACGCCACAAAAGCCCAGATTCTCAACGACCATTTTTCATCGGTATTCACAGAAGAAGACATGTCAAACATCCCTAACATAGACCGTGACCATCCGGAATCACCAGACATTAGCATCACACATGAAGGTGTTCTGAAGCTTATGATGGACTTGGATCCACACAAGGCGCCCGGGCCAGACTACCTGCCTGCAAGACTCCTACGGGACTATGCGAACGAGCTAGTGCGACCTTTGACGCTCATCTTCAGAGGGTCACTAAGGCAGGGAACGATACCCGACGATTGGAAAAAGGCCGCTGTTCTACCCATCTTCAAGAAAGGGGATAGAACCGATCCAGCCAACTACCGGCCAATATCTCTGACGTGTATTTCTTGTAAAATTCTTGAGCACATTATACACTCTGCCCTGATAGCTCACCTAGACACAAACCACTTGCTGAGTGATGCACAGCATGGGTTCCGTAAGAAACGCTCTTGCGAGACTCAACTTATCTTGACTTGCGACGACTTTGCATTCAATCTGAACAATCACCAACAGACAGACGCCATTTTGCTAGATTTTAGTAAGGCATTCGATAAAGTTCCCCATCACAGGCTACTTAGAAAACTAAACCATTATGGAATCAGTGCCACCTATCTAAAATGGATTAAAAGCTTCCTATCGGATCGCACCCAAGAGGTTATACTTGACGGTATCCGGTCGAACGCATGTTTTGTCCGCTCAGGAGTCCCACAAGGAAGTGTATTAGGTCCGCTACTCTTTTTGGCCTACATCAATGATCTGCCAAATGTCCTCTCTCAAGGTACAACAGTTCGTCTCTTTGCAGATGACTGTTTGGTGTATCGCACGATTAAAGGCTCAGATGACGTAAAAGCTCTTCAACATGATCTCCACGCACTAAAAGGATGGGAAGTTAAGTGGCAGATGAGCTTTAACCCAAAGAAATGTGAGGTCATTCATATAACCACCAAGCAAAACCCCCTTATAGCAGCCTATTACCTAGGAAATGATGCACTTCAGAAGAGTATTGATGTTCGCTATCTTGGCATTCACATAACCCCAACGCTCTCCTGGAATGCCCACATCAAGATCATTATAGCAAAGGCATCGAGAACTCTCAGCTTCGTTTCTCGGACACTGCACTCATGCCCGGCAAATGTGAAAATATTAGCATACAAATCCCTTGTTAGGCCTTTACTGGAGTACGCTTCTATTATTTGGGACCCCTACACCAAGAAACACATAAATGCAATGGAAAGTGTACAAAGGCGGGCAGCCCGAGTTTGCACAGGGGACTTTCGAAAAACTAGCAGTGTAACGGAAATGCTTAAAAATTTAAACTGGCCACCACTGCAGAATAGGAGACAGAAGACAAAAGTAACAATGCTACACAAAATCAAGCACAATGTCGTCGATTTGACCACCACTCGCCCACAAACATTACAAACAAATATACGGCATCCACTCAACTTCATAGAGCCACTCAGCTCAATACAAACATTTCAACATTCATTCTTTCCAAGCACAATACGACTGTGGAATCGCCTCCCAGACGAGTGCAAAGAAGCTTCGTCAATGACATCCTTTGCTGGACTCCTTCCTTATTGTTAGACTAGGTGACGCTAGATAGGAACTTACAATTGGCATGAAAGCTTCCGTGCTGTTTGAATGGTGAATTTTTATTTGCTATCTGTATTTTGTACTTGTACATTTAGCCTGTCAGCAATGCGTATGAAGCAAATGGTGACGTTTCTATGAATGTGCCAAGATTATGTACGACAACGATACGATCATCCCTGTTCGAACTGCTCGAACGATGTGCGACAATACTCTAAATGAGGTAATGCACAAATAAATCTGAGAATCTGAGAATCTGAGACTTGTGCACGGCACCCTACTAACCGCTCTCCAGCGATGTGCCAAATTTGCGCACAATCGGCCCAGCCGTTCTCGAGATCTGGAAGCGGCACCCTGCACGTGCGCACGTGCAAAATGGGTCCCAACTGACTTGTGCACGGCACCCTACTAACTGGTCCCTAACCGTGTACCAAATTTGAGCACAATCGGCCCAGCCGTTCTCGAGATCTGGAAACGACCCCTGCACGTGCGCACGTGCAGCAGCACCCCAACTCTGGCACATGGATATGCAGTGCCTAGTGGGTGCCTACCTACATGCCAACTTTCAGCGCAACCGGCCAAGTAGTTACCGAGATATTGCAACAAATACAAAACTGACACCTCTTCGTTTTGCACGTGGCACGTGCATAAGGGGTCACCCACATGCATCGGGAATAGTCCAATACTTGGTAGAAGGAATGAAGCTACCCTACAAAAATTACCGCGTGTAAATCGGTCAAGTGGTTGCTGAGATATAAGCCTCGCAAAAGCGTCCGCACGGCCGGCCGGCCGGCCGGCCGGCCGCTCATACTCAGAAATTTCCGTTAATCTAAGGAAAGACTACGCTCGCTTCGCTCGCTCCGTAATTACACACAGAGAATTGTAAAATTCGTCAATATACCTACCAGTATAGCGCCTTTTGGGGCGACTAACGGAGCGAGCGAGGGGGTGAGTCTTGCACGTGCGAAATTTCGAGGGGGTACCTCCAACTGACTTGTGCACGGCACCCTACTGACCGGTTTCTAGCGATGTGCCAAATTTGAGCACAATCGGCCCAGCCGTTCTTGAGATCTGGGAGCGGCACCCTGCACGTGCGCACGTGCTAAATTGGTCCCAACTGACTTGTGCACGGCACCCTACTAACTGGTCCCTAACCGTGTACCAAATTTGAGCGCCATCGGTCCAGCCGTTCTCGAGATCTGGAAACGACCCCTGCACGTGCGCACGTGCAGCAGCACCCCAACTCTGGCACATGGATATGCAGTGCCTAGTGGGTGCCTACCTACATGCCAAGTTTCAGCGCAATCGGCCAAGTAGTTACCGAGATATTGCAACAATTACAAAACTGACACCTCTTCGTTTTGCACGTGGCACGTGCATAAGGGGTCACCCACATGCATCGGGAATAGTCCAATACTTGGTAGAAGGAATGAAGCTACCCTACAAAAATTACCGCGTGTAAATCGGCCAAGTGGTTGCTGAGATATAAGCCTCGCAAAAGCGTCCGCACGGCCGGCCGGCCGGCCGGCCGGCCGCTCATACTCAGAAATTTCCGTTAATCTACGGAAAGACTCCGCTCGCTTCGCTCGCTCCGTAAACAGTAGCCAATGCACTGACCAAAAAAGCAGTGAACTAAAAGAAGCAATTAATTGTAGTTGTCTCGTCTCTGAAAAATAAAAATCTAAAAATTGTCCATGAGTCGTGATTGAGCCACAATTGTAGCTGCAATCACTAATCTATTGAAACTCATCGTCAACGTTATTCTACATATTGCATGACATAAAAAGCGGCCACATTCAGAGTTCATCGCCTTGAGACCACCTAGCAACAACCGAGAACTCAAAAAGACGAACCAGCTACCAGCCTCATTCCTTCATCGCCTCCCTCACACCGCCATAGCCAAATTAATTCACTCTCTGCATGCTTTTACCGTACACTTTGTCTCCAATCCGTCATCGTTTTGACGGACGGTGAGTGAAGATGAACCATGAGGTAGTCATTCTTATAAGACAGCCAGAAAGCGGATGAAGTGAAAACCTGGCCATGACGTGAGGATTACTGATGGATCTTCACGTTCAAAGGTGTAATGCATGCAAACCGTGGGTGGCGAATTATTCAGGAGTTAAAGCGGGGGCTATGTGCCTTGAATTTTAATCGACGATGGTGTGATGTCGGGAGTTTAAATTCATTGAGGTAAAGTAGCGTAGGAGTTGCGAATTAAGTCTCCTTTTATATAACTCTTTGATAGTGCGTATTGCTCTCCTACGAAAACCAGTGATAGACGTTCCGTACTAAGCCAGAGCCATGTGAAGTGTGAGCTGTAAAATCACAAGATAATTGTAGAGGTTCGGACTTTTATTTCAGAGATCTTATACTTTCTTCGAAACACAATAACAAAAAATGCGCGCATTACAAACAGATTTCGGGTTCATGAATCATGATTAACACAAAATCCGGTTGCAATTGCGCATTTACTATGTACCAAATATGTACCAAATAATTTGCGGTGAAAGATCACCATTTAGCAGGAAGCGACTCAGCAATAAAGATGCATGCGCTGCTACGAATGTCCATGCCGCATGTCGCAGATAATGTCCATAATAAAGTCTGCAGAAGGGTTGTGAATTGTCCATACATAGCAACCAGCAGTTGACCCTCACACCCATACCCTCGTAGTTGACCTCAGTTATCTCCGCAGTTGACCTCATACCCATACCTTAACCCCGGCAGATGACCATACATCCATACCTGGGAACCAGCAGTTGACACGTCCAATCCCTGGCGGCGGCAGCAGCGGCTGTTCACCCGGCACGAACTGCATCAGCGCCGTGAGCAGCGTCAGCAGGAGTGGTGAACACCACGCGTACAGCGAGTAGCGGACGAACCGCTCCCGCTGCTGGCTGGTCCGGGATGGAGCGGCGCGCAGACGACTGCGAATGAACACGGAACGAGGGCGGTGATTGGTCGGGAGCTGTGCGCAAGTTGCTGGCAGATGTTAGTGGGGGGTTGGTTGGGGTCTGTGATTGGTGGACAAGATTTTGAGGTTTATCGATAGTTAACGCTAATTTATGGCCAAGCTACGTTACAATATCAACCTATCTGATGTAATGAATAGCGAATCATACAGAAGCTCCCATAGAGCCGCGGAATCAGAAATTTTCATCGCGGATATAGCTCAGACTATTGAAAACTTGTTGTCATGCGAGCTAAGCAGACAAAATAAGATTGTCGGTAAACTTATCCATTCTGAGTGAAAATACATTGAGCGCCTATGACAAACTCTACTGAAGTCGAGACATTTTCTGGTCGCATTTCAAAGTTAGTGAATGTGCTTCGGGACTTTTGTCCCAGAACAAAAGGACATGTTACCATGTAGTTTTAATGGCACCAGTTGTAACTTAGCTACATGTTTCATTAAGAGAAGCGGCTCACTGAGCAATTTGAAATAAATTCTCCACACGTATACTAAAGACGACGTTAACAATTTGCGACACGTTTCCCGAGCTCCAATAAAATGTAACCTTCAGAAGATTTACTCCAGTTCATCGTGCTACATACATGTCCCGTTGAGAAATAGCACTCGGAAAATCTCCAGGAACTGGGTATATGTCACCGGGTGTAACTATTTAGCCCAGTCGACTGGCGCTCGTCGTAGAACAGCCAGTGCAGTTTACATGGAAAGGCTGTGCGTTCTACGGAGGGAGAGTTGACTGACATTGTGTGTAATGAGGTGTCCATTCCGTCGAACGAGCCGGACATTTTTACACACTGACAAGTGACAGTGGACTCTTTCCACCAATCCACAGAGACGGACAGTGCCAAACTGGTGGACTCGCAGTTATGCGGCGGCGGAAATGAGGGTCCAGAGGCCGGCATTTCGGAGATGTGCCGAATAACGTCAGGCTGATATGGAATTGGGATGTGTTGTTGGCGAATTTGCCCAGCTGTGATGTCGTCACCGGGGCGAGAGCATGCTTGTGGAAAAATATTCATTCCATCATCGCATTAAATATTACTGCGCGTCAAGGCGGGCTTGTTGGGACTTAGCAGCCATTATCATTAGGAATAATTGACAGACAAGAAAAAAAAACAATTGCGTTCCTTATAAATGTCAACGAAATTCATGTCCGTCTGAAAATAAATAACCAGACGATAAAATTATATTAAAAGCCCGAACATGGAAATGACGCCAGCGCAGACATTGTTGCAACCAGTGGTCATGCTCCTGAAATGCGGTAGCGACCATTGAACGATCGGGATCGGTGCAGATTTAGAACGGATTTTCAAGTATTAGATAACGCTAAACGACAATATATGCCCGTCTAATACTGCCACCAGCAAGAGCGACATATAACTAAGGTTTATAGATAGTCATTAGTCACAGTCAATCATGCGAGCCAAATGCTGAGTTTCCTCACCTAAATGTGAGCCAGATGTCGAAACTCATCACGTTCAGCCAAAAACAGGAGGCCAGGAACGAAAAGTGCATCAGAAGACCTGAAAACAGAGGAAAGACAGTGGTTACTTATTATGTCGCACCACAGCAGACCTTTTTTTGTCAGTAGAACAAAGTATCACCCCCATAACAGCACCTTCTCAGGAATTCTACACGCTCATTCTGGTAAAATATGTAAACAGCTGTAAAAATAAATGCCGCAAATTGGATGTGACTTATGTATCGAACTTGTCAAAGTTCCGAGTGAACGCACCCCATGAATGTTGATCACAAGTTGGGGTACATCGGCGCAGTCCCTGCGCATTTCTCGGCACGGAACCGTTATAGCGTGCCTTCCGTGAAAAGTAATGTATATCGTGCGGTATTGCGTGCGATGTTTTGAACGTATGTAATTACTGTCCTTTGGAGGCCTGAAGTGTCACTGCGTTGAATGCGGTATGAGACGTCAGAACGACTTTGTCACACATCGCGTAATGCCTCGGCTAGAAAATTAATGCGTTCACTGCGTAAGGACAACACTGACACCAATATGTGTAGCGGGGGGCTTGGCGAATGGCTTGAAATGCTCCCGTCATTTAGTGAAATGAATAAATGTTGAGCAAAATCCCGGGTGAGGATATATCTGCAGCAGCCGAGTCTTAGCCATCAATCCACCGAAGCCTTTCATTTTGAGAATGAATGGCGCACTAACACCTCTTCCCCATACCATTTACGTCATTCATTCTAGCCACCTGGCCAATTTCAGACACAACGGATATTGCGCGCAATAAAACTGACCATTCACTACTGCACGAAATAAAGATAGATTACTTTCACCGAAAAGCACAATAGGTCTGCTCGCACTGGAGTTTGCTGAAGGTTTTCGGACAATCGTCAGTGCACAAACTTGATCAGTTGACAATGGAAACGCAGATAAATGAGTATAACACAAGAACGTGCATACAGCCAGCAAACCGTACCCACCTCTGTATTCTACATACATCCCATCACCCGATTCCCCCATCTTCCCCGAACTATATACCCTGACACAGACAATTGTAATGAATCCCTTTTTTACTTCAACGCATTTCCCATCATCCCATATGAACTCGTCCATCCCCTGACATAGCTACAGCCTCGAGTACACTCCCGGTCGAGAGGAGATATTCCCCTTATTTCCCTACCCCACATTCCCCATATTTACTCACCTACGCCCTGACACAGCTGCAGCCTCGAGTACACCAATGGTCGGGGAATTCCCCATCCCCCCATTCCCCATTTGAACTCACCTATCCCCTGACATAGCCCCAGCCTCGAGTACACCAGCCGCCGGGAGAGAGGGATAACCCTTTTCCCATTTTCCCATGGGTACTCACCTACGCCCTGACAGAGCTCCAGCCTGGAGTACACCGCCGGCCGTGAAGACGCCATCAGACATCCCAGCGCCACCAACAGCGCCGCCGCGTGAGACACCAGACACCTGCCGTGCTGGTTCCGCAGCGCTGGTACCAGCAGGTGCACCAGCAGCACCCCCAGCAGGCCCACGGCCGAGCACGTCTGGAGAACGGTCAGTAGGGTGGGGGGACCGGGACGAGGCACGGCGGCAGGACGAGGGTAGCAGAGAACGGCCATTAGACGAGGGCGGGGTCCTCCGTGGGGTGAGGCGACGGAGCGAGCCGTTCTTGGGATGGAAGATAACATGGTGAGTTCGGAGGAGATTGTACCCCCACGCCGCACCCGCTGCTTTCGATGAATGTTGTGAAGGGTCGAATGATGAAGATTTGACCTCTTGCTCTTCCGATGTTGATGTCTTCTTTCGCGACTTCTGACTGCTCGATTACCACCTGTGACCACATTGCGCCTCTTTGTCCTATACCTTACTGTAGATTCGTCTGCATTGTCCGCGGAACTGGTGGAGCTCACGCTGGGCTCAGGAGTGGGGGAGGGATCGGTCTCCTGCTCCTCATCACACTCTTCATACAGAACCCGATCGACACAAAACTCTCCAGCGGGTATCATAGCCTGCTCGGGCGCCAACAGTTGACCATCCTCCTGTAGAAAGAACCGATCCGGATGGGGGCGTGAGGCCTCTTCAGACCCTGAAGGACTGGAATGAACCTCAGTCTTGTCTGGTGCCTGTGAGGAGCTGCCTTGACTCGCGGGTCGCTGCGGTGGTGGGCGGTCAGGCTCTAGTGGAAACACCCCTCGCGGTTCCTCCCCGGGCTCAGCACACGCCGGTACACCGGTTACCAGACGGACGGGCTCCGCATCTAACGGATTCTCCTCGCGGTGGAACACCGGCGTCCAGGGAGATTCCGCCGGCACACAGCGGAGTCCGCCGCGTTGGATCAGCATCCCCTCCGGACAGCATTTGCGGAAACACCGCCTCGCCGATCCACAGCGGACTGCGGATTCAGCCGCTGTGAGTTTTCCGGCAGCACCCAGCAGTGGGATGTGGCAAACCCTCGCGGCTAGAGTCGGTATCTGGTAACCTCCGCTGTCTAGTAAGAGATCCGAGCAGTGACCTCCGACGGGGTACCTCGCGTCCCCGCGGCGGAGAGCGCCGTCCAAGAGTAGCGAGAAACTCTGACTTGGGAGGTCAGAGGTCAGCCAGAAGTAACCTCGCGCACAGCTGAGATTTCCATGAGCCGATGGAGGCGGCGGAGGCGGATCGGTCTCGTAGACAGCGTTGTTGGAAGAGCTGCCCCTCGCGGATGATCCGGGCACCTCACGCCGGTAGCGGGTAACATGTTTAACCGAAGAGCTGAGGTCGCCAGTCGCTTGATCCAGCAGTTTCCTCCAGGCGGTGTGATGAAGATGACGCAGTGTATGCGAGTCGAGAGGAGCGGGAGCGCAGACCGGCTCCCCCTGGTCTCCACTGCGGACCAGCGCTTCCCCGGAAGGACAGCATTTCAGGTGTCCACTGGACGGGGAGGACACGGTCGCTGGCAGTGTCATCACCACTGGTATAGTCATCAGCACCAGCAGTGGCACCATCAAAGGCACCAACTTCACCAGGAGATGGACGGGGAGTGGTATGAGTGTCCTCTCTGAAACTGGCGTCATTGATGATTGGTGACCGAATGTGACGGTAAACCGTCAGTCAACGTCAGTTGCGCATAATTAGTTCACATCAGTCTTCACTTACGTGCCGTACTAAAATATCGAACTTCAAACCCTCCAAAGCCGATAATGCAATGAAGCTCGGCGAGCGATTCACCACCGTCAGAACTTGATCCAAACAAACGAGAAAGTATCAGATGACAGACACATGATCAAATCAACCTCAGTACAGGTTACTCAGGCCGTTAGCCTGCCTTCCTGGTTCATACAGCCTGTCCTCTCCAGTTTATATAACTTGCCCTGTCCGGTTCATGTAGCCTGTCATGTCTAGTTCATTGTACACAATACCTGTGTTTTCCGGTCCATACAATTTGCACGAGCTCTTGTCCGTCGTCGAGCTGATAGACTTCTATGAGTTCTACTGATATCTAATGTCTATCGAATTCTCTCTTGAGCGATGACCTGATCACATCATCACCAACAGTGATAACAACATCACCAAACAATCACCATCTGGTCACCAATCGATCGCCGGTAGCCCCACGTGAGACACTGATTGCCTCCGAGAGACAAGCTCCTGTCGTCTCCGCTGGTCTTCCGTCGATCTTGTCTCGTATGTCGTTACTAATGACGGGATAAAGTACATCCCTGTCCGTAGCTGTCAGGCGATGGACAGTGGCGCTGGCCAATATCAATATTGTGCCCCGGATGGAGCACTATTGAACGGTGATCTTTTTTCGTGGTGCGGTCACGTGTTGGTTGTCAGAAATGACTCCGATGGCAGTCATTGCCAGACGCAGTGCCGCTTTGCTATTATTGTCCATGTGTTGGTAATTTTACCGCTTATGTCATGAGACGTAAAGCAAATGTCATATAAGATCACACAGAGTATCCGTAGATGCAACTGGTGGCTTCACTATCCAAAGTAGGTAAACAAAACCGACACTTTGTCCAGTGACACCAGTCTCAGTGTTCTCAGCACTCTCACAGAGCACTGTAGTGTAAGGAGCACCCGAGGCTCCACGCCGATCACCGCACAGCGGAGCACGCAGCACGGAACACACCGCGTCGAACCCACAGACTGGGAGCGCTTCGGTCAGTGCCGCCTGAGCTACTGCTGACTGGACCGAGCAGCCTCAGTGCCGCGTGGCGGGGGATTGGTGAACTACGTCCAGTCCGGCCGAGCGATCGTGGGAGGGGGGTACTGGACGGGGGCAGAGAGCTAAAACCTGTAGGATTTGTCCCAAGAGAGACAATCTGATATGAGCCTGTGAGGAGGAGGACGATGTAGAAAAGACGTGAGGCAATGGAGAGAGAGAGAGAGAGAGAGAGAGAGAGAGAGAGAGAGAGAGAGAGAGAGAGAGAGAGAAGAGAGAGAGAGAGAAGAGAGAGAGAGAGAGGGGGGAGAGGAGAGATGCGAGGAAGAAAGGAGACCCGATGAGAAATCATATCACGTATCTCGTTAGTCCCCCATTCAGCGAACCTATCGTCATCATCCCTTCCCGCTCGAATATTCCGTTTACCTCCAAGGCACTTGTGGAGGCCAAGCCAGGTCATCAACGTGACGTCACACATCCCTTCCACTGCAAGCGAGGGGGCCGACTCGACTTCAAGGAAGCATCATAAGGCGCGTGCTGAGAAGCGTTCGATGACCTCCGAGTAGCTAAATGCGTCGGCCGGAGTAGGGATCCCCACGGGACCGGCACGCGTATTACACCGCAGGCCCAGCTATATGAGACGGGGGATAATCGAGTTAAACGAATGAATTGGACAGTGATGAGATGTCAATTCTGTGAAATCTAGATAAATGTGAAGACGGGTCCTAGGCACAGCTGCTGGATGGAGGAACGATAAAAGTAACTACAGTAGGTACTTTCCCCACAGCAATTTCTGCAGCTGGGCAAGCGACAAGTCCATAGATAAGCGGGCACGTAATGTCGTTGAATAGGTCTCCCATTGTCGAATACTTCGTAAACCATAAGGTATTCATCTGGCTCCTGAAACTGAGTTAACAAATAGCTTGAAATCACCACTTGAACTGTCTTGTTGCGTGTCCCTCAAGCGTAACAAGCCGTTATTTATTTGTCCTTCTGGGTACTGTGTCGCGGCTAAGCAGTCTCTGTGTCGTCTCCACAGCGTATCCTGTGAGTGATCGTCCCGTCAGGGCCCTGATGAAGGTTGTTATTTTCCCCCACAGCCCAGATAGGGGTGATGCACTCACAATTTTGCCAGACGTGTTGTTTGCTTAGGGACTATGCGAGGGTATCAAAATCTTGAAATAATGCGTGGGCAACCCAAGAACTTCGATATGATGATTTCGGTTAAAGCCAGTGCTTTTTGTAGGTTTCCCGATATCATGAATGACTCATCTCATCCATTTCATTTATCAAAAGGTTGTCATTGTTGAAAACTTAGGCTGGGTTATCAAAATAAGTAGACGAGTGTTTCCTTGCGCCTCCTTATCATGTTTCATGTTAAATTATATCGTACAACTATAGGTTGTAGCACGGGATGCAATAAATAGACTTATCCGATGAGTTTGTGACCTTATCTATAATGTCTGTCAACTCGTAAGCTTTCATGACACCGATTTGTATCACCCAACTGCTGTTCACACGTCAGTACAAATGACAAGTGACATATCATCACCACGCAGCGCCTGACTAATGATCCCATCTCCCACTCCCGATCAACAGTTTGTGACGTCAGACCGATGACGTCACATATCGTGCAGTACGCCTGATAACGTAAAACGGTGACGTCATATCACACGGTCCTGACTTTAAATTTAACCACTGCAGTGTAAAACGGCGATTTTACGCCGCGAGAGGGCTGAATAGAGAAACTGGGTGAGTACATAGCAGGCTACTTAGTGTGGGCGTTTTGGGCTTTCAGAGTGCTGCCAAATCCAGCAGCTGCGTACCTCCCTCAGCTTTGAAATGCCGCGACATTTTGTACTCGAGTGAACAGGCTTGTAAGGGCTGGAGGAGGTCGTTCCATTAGCGTGAAGCCAATTCAGGTCCTCGCCAGAACGGATTTTCTCGGCGGGACCACATCAGTTTCGGTAGCGAATTCTCGGATGAATTTGGGAAATCGCGGCAGACAGCCCCTTCTCCCCCCCCCCCTCAGCGCAGTGATATCATTCTCAGCTCGAGGTTCACTGCTGTGCGGTTCGTCTTAGACGTGGCACGCATGCAAACGGCATCACAATCGGTTCAAAAATGTCCACACCAAGCTGAGTCTCGGCTTCGTGATACCCGAGCGGGACCGTTTTCTGCAATCGAAAATGTATAGTCATAGAAGTGACCGAGTATCCAATGAAGGGTAACTGAGAAAACGGCAAATAACATAGGCATGACTGGTTACAGACCGCTAGCCTTTGACTTCATCAGCCGTGTATTTACCTTACATTTATTTCGTTTGTCCCATTACATAATAAACAAGCTGGAAGTACGGGATGACGAATAGAATGCTATAATGCGAAAACGGAAAACCCATTATGCCATAAAAAACGGAAAACCCATTATGCCATAATTACTTCGGTTTCCTGCCACGGATTGTTAGGTCCTCTATGCTTCCGTTTCGCTTCGGATGTCTTGATTGAACTAGCAATAAATGGAGCCATCGTAAGCGGCGCATCAGATTTCCAATACCGTACAACTGCATAGTTACACATCTAATTCAAATTTCATCTAAGTAAAACAACACTTTGGAAGGTCGCGACACATTCAGGGCAATAAAATGATAAAAGGTAGCGCTCAAAAAGTCATCCTAACGGTAGGTCCCAATCAAACGCAACACTGGGTAGAAACTAATCATTACATCCTAGAGCAGCCCTAAATCAATCCTGCGATAATGTCTACCACTGCCGGACACTATGGGGGTAGATCCGGGTGAGGGAGGGGTTGGAGGGGGGGGGGGGGCAGCGGCGCTGAAGCCTGGATTACGGCAGAGCTTCGGAACGGCGTTTAACGCACATATAAGATCGAAAGGTCTTTGGAATCAGGCTACCCGGACGTAACCCAAATCAGCTACTAAGACACTAAGCTGTAATAAAATTACCCGATAAAGCCCATCACTCCCACATTTGCAGGATATAGTTTTTATTTTGTTTAATTTTATTTTGCTGGTCTAATGCACAGCCGGGTAAAACAATTAATTACGGAGCGAGCGAAGCGAGCGTAGTCTTTCCTTAGATTAACGGAAATTTCTGAGTATGAGCGGCCGGCCGGCCGGCCGGCCGGCCGGCCGGCCGGCCGTGGTCACGCTTTTGCGAGGCTTATATCTCAGCAACCACTTGACCGATTTACACGCGGTAATTTTTGTAGGGTAGCTTCATTCCTTCTACCAAGTATTGGACTATTGCCGATGCATGTGGGTGACCCCTTATGCACGTGCCACGTGCAAAACGAAGAGGTGTCACTTTTGTAATTGTTGCAATATCTCGGTAACTACTTGGCCGATTGCGCTGAAAGTTGGCATGTAGGTAGGCACCCACTAGGCAATGCATATCCATGTGCCAGAGTTGGGGTGCTGCTGCACGTGCGCACGTGCAGGGGTCGATTCCAAATCTCGAGAACGGCTGGACCGATGGCGCTCAAATTTGGCACATGGTTAGGGACCGGTTAGTAGGGTGCCGTGCAAAAGTCAGTTGGGACCCATTTTGCACGTGCGCACGTGCAGGGTGCCGATTCCAGATCTCGAGAACGGCTGGGCCGATTGTGCTCAAATTTGGCACATCGCTAGAGACCGGTTAGTAGGGTGCCGTGCACAAGTCAGCTGGAGGTACCCCCTCGAAATTTCGCACGTGCAAGGCTCACCCTCTCGCTCGCTCCGTTAGTCGCCCATAAGGCGTTATACTGGTTACGCAGTTATTGTTCGTTTTTTTTTTCTCAAAAGGACGCTGGCTCAAAGTTCAATATCGAAGCTCTCACGTGAGTTTTGGCAGCTTCAGTGTCTGGCGAAGAATTTCTTACCGAAACAATAACCGGTTTCAAATTGTGCACGGTAAGTAGCTGGAAATTGTTTCTTAAAAATGAACATACTATGATGACGTCACTGGTGGCAGCAGGCACCCAAATGTCCGTGCAATGGGACAAGTGTCAACGAATTTGGGTGAAACTTAGTTTTCTCACTGTTGCCGAGCTTATAATCGAGTAAGCAGTTCCGTCCATGATAGTTATAAGTTACATTGCAATACATGTTCGACAGTATGACGTCACCACTGTTCTCATATATGGTTCCAAAACGCACATATGGAAATTATCGGGAAGAAATCACATGTTAAAATTAGTCGACGTTCGATTTTCTCAGGTTCAGTTTTTGCTCGTTTTGCTCGCTAAAACACGTGCTAGTTCGAAAAACATACTTGGAGCCAGCGTCCTTTTGAAAAAAAAAACGAACTATAGCTACATATTTTGCCATATTGGCGCTAGTAAGATGCGGTGAACAGAGACAGTTAATATGACGCATGGATGACGGCCAGGGCCTTGCAATACCTAAATGTAATATCTTGCTGTTGAAACACTATGGTTTTGAAGATATACTCGGCCATACAAGTCTCAATAATTTTTGTAGTACTTCCTATGTGGATTCGAAAAAAAAAAAAATAATGCAAGTATTAGAATGAGACATAAAATCCTACGAACTTATGTCAAGCAGGAGATCCAAAGAACCGGTGGTTCTCAAAGGTTGGTCCAAATGCTGAACATGCCACAAAAGTCCCTGGAAAAATAGTCCAACTCACACCGCACTTTGCAGTAGTTTTATAAGTCGCAAACTACCCACCAGACCGTAGCGTTTCAGACATGTTGTGATGCGGGTCAAACTTGTCCATAACTTCATGATGAAGACGTCATTAACATGACATTATGTCCGCCGTGACTCAATTCGATTTTCGATCACGTTTGACCAACCACTTCAACTACAATGGCAGTTTCCGTCCGGTGATTGAAAAGTTTGCAGCCAGATAGAGAGCTAATGTATACAAAGCAACATTTATTTGTACCTTAAATCATTTGAAAAGTTATCAAAAACATGGTACCCAAAGATCGGGAAAACGGCGAAGGCTGATGTCAGGCATGCATTCACGACATTATCAGCTATAAGTAGCGATAGCAGTGAAATACAGGCAGACTAGCCACTACTAAGCTGCCGCATAACACGAATTGACTGACCTGACCTTTGACCCGAGTCTGCTCCTCAGTAGCAGTCAGTTGGTATGTCAATCTTCCGATCCATTGTCGCACATCGGAAAACTTCCTGCACCCTAGCAGACACTCGGTCAACCAGAGCCTCTATCCGCTCCGCAGCTGGCACAGGTGGCGCTGCGGTCGCCGATACAGAGGACGCCACCGTCGCTGAATCACCACTGCCCGTCGCCTCTACCGCGGAAGCAGCGGTTAGGAACTCAGTCAGTGATATCCCAACTTCTGGGCGGCAGCGGAGTTGAGCCTTTCCGTCCCCGCCCCCGCCCACTCTACCGCTGAAAAACTCCTCAGTACTCTGAGCCAGCACGCTACTTATCACTGCATCACGTGAAACTGTATCCAGTCCCGCCTCTGAGTCACGTGGTCGGCCTTCGTTCCCGGTATCACCCTTTGCCACCTCCATACACAGCCTTCTTACTTCCTCTAGAGCGCCTGGCTCCAGCCTATCACAGATCGTGACGTCACCGACAGTCATAGTGACGTCATCCGTATTATTCATGACGTCACCATGCGTCCTAGCCATGTCTTTTCCGATGTTCCCAGCGCTTGTCCTGCCGCTTCCTTTAGCAGCCGCATCTTCAGCGTGAGATCCAACGACAGCTTCTGCACATCCAACATCTTGATCAATACTTCTACCTTCATCAACCTCAGCTTCTTCAGCAGCAATGCCAGCAGGAGCAGGGGCCTCAGACCCAGCTGGTAGCTTCTCTCCAGAAAGCAGCCGAGCCACCCTCCTCAAAAGCACTCTCGCCGAGGTGCGCTCATCATTAGTAATCCCAGTCTCCCCACTGCTGAGGTTGGAGTCTGCGCTGTGCTGGTCCGAGCCGGGCAGAGTACGGGAGGCGAGGGAGAGCAGAGAGCGACCGGCACCGTCTCTTAGCCAGCTGACAACGGCAGAGGCAGAGACGGGAGAGCCGGAGGCGAGATCTGGGGGAGAGAGGGTAGGGTGAGTGAGTGAGTGAGTGAGTGAGTGAGTGAGTGAGCATGTGACAACGTTTTGACGCAAAGAACGGATGGTATATTAAATAGATCATGTCTCAAGACAAAAAAAAAAAATATTGTTTCCTGCTGATTGCTTAAGCCTCAATGCTAATATTCAATATTCAATTATTGAATGACTAGCGAAAAAAGTCAAACACAATAAATGACCTACAACTCCATTTTCAAAAGTTAAAAAGACTGTTGCGTCAAGCTAGAAGAGCTACTCAAGTACTAACACAAACAATTGTCAACTACTCGTTGAAACAGCAATCATTAAAATAAAATTAAGAATGAACTGCATTCAAATGACCAGGTTCAGTAACATGTCATACCCCCCCCCCCCCCCCCCCGTCACCTACCACAGTCCACAGCGGCCCGGTACACCCTCTGAGCAGCAGCAGCGACAACCGACTCCCCCGAACACAGTGCCGTCTGCAGCAGGGGCAGGCAGTCCCTCCATAGAGCGGGTGGTAGGGGGCGCCGCGTCCCGCCCGGGCCCGGAGAGAGTCGACGGAGTAGGTAGAGCAGCGGAGCCGTGTCCAGAACCACGTCACCGTCCGAGCAGCTGGCCAGGAGCTGGAAGGGGGGGGGGCAGGGCAGGTCAGGTCAGAGTGGGGCAGGGGGGCAGGCATTGTTTCCAGGGATGCAAATACACTACACAATACTGAAGTGGCAAACACAAACACAAAATGTTCATGCAGTGGAAACACTGAAAAAGTGCAGCTGGTTCTCAATAAAAATTATTTACAGATAAAAGCCAATGCTCTTGACATTCATCCAGCAAAAGTCGACAGTGAAATATATCATTCTGCTTTCCGTAAGAATGCAAAAAAAAGGTTCTTACCCGACTGAGGTCGACGTTTTCCTCAATGTCTCTCCAGACCGCGCCGGTCGCCTCTTCGATCAGCCAATGGGCGACGCGCCTGCCGCCAGGCCCCGCCCCTATCAGTGACGTCACAGTCACAGAAGCCAGCCGATTGGTCGCCAGCCATCCGCTCAGCGAGCACTCTTCCTCCCCATTGGCCGGCTGAGGTGGCGCGGTGCCGCCATTGGTTGCTTGTCTGTCACCCTCGCTGTGATTGGTCGGTGGGCTGTAAGCCGCCCTCTGATTGGCTGTTCGGACCAGCGCGAGCACCGCCTCCCCGGCAGCGTCCATGGAGTCTTCCCCAGTGGGTTTGGTAAGAAGTGTGCTGAGAAGTCCAGCTAGACGGTCCCATAACGGTCCAGAACCGCGGGAGGGAGGTAGAAGACGACAGCAGCGGGTGAGACACTGCAGCGCGCACACTGCCACCTGGTGGAGGGGGAAAAACTAACAGTACTGGCGGTGACCGAAGGAGAGCGGTTGATAACTGAAGCGCGCACGCCGCACATGGCAGCCACCTATTACTGGGAAGGGAAAAACTAACAGTGAGGGCACGGCACGGGGAGAGCCCCAGCAAGGGTAGTGACTCGTCGATAACTAATAAGCATCACTGCGAGTCCAGAAAAAAACATCCCTTTGAAATGTCTGATTAATGACATACCGCCAAAGGCGAAAAGCGACAATCCAGAATTTACGAAGAGCATAACATGGATTAAAAATATTTTACAGTACGGAAAGCAAAAGTGAAAACATGATCACTTATTTAGAATTTCCAGTGGCTCTTACACCTCAGCCTTACCCTCTCAGTGAGGTCCGGGCTCTCCAGCACATTGACAATGACGTCACCCAGTCCCGTCAGTGACGTCACATCACCGTCTCCACAGTGACGCGGTGTGACGCCAGTCGGTCCACACAGGTTTGCCATCAGTGAGAGGACGTCAGCCTGATGATGGTGCGAGGGGAAAGGTCGAAAACTAATTAATATAAGCAGACATGTGTACTGTGTAGCAAGGCAACTGATGCCAGATTTGTGAGCATATGATTAATTGTGGCATAAGTGCATGCATTATAGGTAGGAATCGATAACAGGCAACAACATGACATTATTGTAGGTGTCTCATCGCACTCATCGTTCTGTCATGCTTCAAAGACGACAGCATTTAGCGACATGTTCAAACTAGTACAGGCACTCGACCCCTAAAGGGCCCCTTCACCACACTCTCATTTCAGTTGGGAGGGCGGTGAAGGAACCATGTGTGACATACCTGAGTGCGGGCTGACCGCACCACGCCGTGTTTCAGCAGCAGCACCCACGGCTGAATCAGCCGACACAGGGCAGCGGGCTCCAGAGGCGATACTGCCGGACGGTCCTGTGGGAGAGTTGGAGATAACACAATAGCCAGGCACCTTGGACAATGTTTTTGGTGAGCACTATGCAAACACAAAACAAACTTGTGCTACCTTTACCCTTTAGTCAGGGTAGCGGGGAAATATTGTCACATAATCATGAATTGCAAGCTGCAACTACAAAATATGAATAACACGAGCACACATATTAATATTATTTTTTATATAATGCGCCAACCGAAACACGTCTAAACTACGGTTCAGACCAAAACCAATTCCCCAAAAGTTCCAAGTTTAATTGGCTCCAGTTGCTTACCGCTCGGCCCACGAACACCTTCCTCAAGAGGTCAAGGTCACTCGTCAGATCAGGGTCAGCGTCACCGCCTTCCAGCGGAGCTATGCTGGTACTAGAGGTTCCCAGAACCTCCGCCAGATGGCTGTCACCAGCCACAAACTCCTGTTCGGAGACAGAGAGAAGTCAACGTGAATTTAATTGAAAAGAAATCCATTGTGCGTCGCGAGGGATGAGCTAAACTCCATGTAACTCAAGGCTGCGACGAGCACAGTTACTGTGCTCGTACTGTACCAGCAAATCGGTGAAAATTGTCTTGCAGTTGCATAGAAATTGATTCGAGGGATCCACAGTTGAAATCGGAAAAACGCGAACCCATCGAGAAAGGTCAAGCCGAGTTGAGTTCCACTGACCTCGACTGCTTTCCGGTTTTCTCCATCGATGTCTGTTTCTGTGGAGGTCAGTTTTACTGCCCGCCACCTGTGGAGCACCGACCACACTGGAGCTGCAGCTATTGCCGATAGGTGGCAGCACCTGATACCGCCCAACAGGCAGGCATCCAGGACCAGGGAGGTGACGTTACGGAGCGCATCTGAAAACGAAAGATAGCGTGAATAACGCACCGTAAAACCACCGAACATGAGGAAAAAAGCTATTTAGTTTTCATCGAGACATCGTGCAGCTGCAACCTATGGTCCACTTTTTCGCTCAGTCCTGCCGCAAGATCATCAGTGAAGAAAAGATTGAATTGTGCGCAACATGTGACGACAAGAGCCTATTCGGGACATTTCGATACGAGACACATTTTAACATCATCATCAAGCGATTGAAGTCGAAGGTATGCCAGTCCGAGGGACCAATGATACAAAAGCATCACTTCTTGTGTATGAATGCTCTGTACGACACACAAAGCCCCCAAGCAACCCTTGTGCCACATCCAGTGCCTCAGCAGCTCACCTTTTCTCTCGGCCTGACGGCTGAGCGCTTTGCACGCCCTCTGTACCGCTGTCTTCACAGATTCCTCGGACGCTGATTGGTCGAGCAGGTGCAGGCCGACAAACAGCTGAGCGGGGATAAACGAGGACGGCGATACTTCCATCGGTGGTGCCACCTGGTGAGGAAAAGGGGGAACTTTCGGAATCCATGACGCAATATATCAAGTAATTCTACACACATGACATTGGTTATCATTAACACGTCCTGCGCCCAAAACAGTGGCCTTCAGGGCTCAGGCCTCGACATCAACTAACATCCCATGATAGTCCCCATCCCTCCTAGACACATCAGTTAACCTTCAGCCTTCCCTCGCCCCTGACCTGCTGTTTGAGGGTCAATATGAGCCGCCTATGGTGGTCCGTCTGAGTCAGGGCGCGACAGTCCGGCTGTCTGAGCAGGTGCTGAACCAGCCGCAGCAGCACCTCACAGCAGCTCAGCTGTGAACACAGAAAGGTTAGACGATTACAGATAATTGTTGTATCACGTCGCAATATCAGGTCACAGCAACACGTGAGCTGCTGAGAGAGGTTAGAGACACAGGTGTTGAGCGGCTACATATGCGGTTGTACGGTAGCTCAGAGCAGTTCAAACTGTGATATATCGCCAGATGTATCGCAGCAATCAGCACAGTTCACACACAGACTAAAACAGACTCGCAGATTATCCCACAAAAAAATCGTAAGTACGCGGAAACTTAGATCCCCGTTTTCGTTCCAAGTACGCCCCCGTCATTCCCCAGTCCGGACCCCTCTACTCACCCAGGCCGGCGGACAGTCCCTCTCCACAGGCTGCATCAGTCGCCGGGACGGTATCACCAGGAACCTGGTGAGCGCCTCCAGAGGACCCTTCACCTCTGCAGCGGGCCCCGCCCACAGCCGCGCCAGGCGACCAATCAGCAGTCGGTGCAGTGAGGGTTTGTACCGGCCGCCACCAGATGACAGCACCGCCGATATCAGCATCGACCAAACACCTGGAAGGAGTCCGTGGTGAGGTCAGGGAACTGGGAAAGGCTTGATATTAAAGCTGCAGAATTGAGCAGGATTAGAAGATTTTGGGTCCGAGCATACGAATCCCGTCCGACCCAGAAAAGCCGAGGCCCTAGTGAGATCAGGGCCCCATTTCACCCTACGACGCTACCGAGCGCTAACAGGCATTGGTGCTCAGCTTCTCTGGAATTAAGCAAAAACTAGCAATTCTGCTGTTTCTATATAAACCGATCACTAATACTGGTAGTGCTCAGTGGCATTGTGCGGTCACACAGGGCCCAAGTAACTCAAGTTATGCTGGGACAGCCAGTCTCAGCTTGGTCATTTCCCTTACAGTCATAGCAGATGCGGATATGCATACCTGTCTGATCGGCCCATTGTCTGCCTGCTTTGTGCTCCAGACAGGCTGAGATGACAGCCGCCAGTGGCAGGCACAAGGCCGCGCTGACATTCAGGGCCTCACAGGACTGTACCAGAGCAGAGAGCACCTGGAAAAGATGGAACAGAGGGATGGCATGATATTTAGTAAATAAGCGATGAATTGACAGATTAGTGAGGAGTGAGCAAGGAAGTGCAGTTTAGAGAGGGATGGAGGAACTGAGAGTGAGGGAAGAATGGGGAATGGTAAAAAGGAGGGATCCCATTGGGGGACAGGTAAGAGAGGGAAAATACCTATATGAAAAATATTGATGGTTGTAATAAACAAAGAGTTCGATGGAGTCAATTCTAGCCAAAAATTATCAGTGAAGCACTGAAAAACACCCTGGCCTTAAACAAGATGGACAGAGTTAGCAGTGACTCCACTTGAAATAATCAACAATTGGTAAAGGAAAATAAGACCAGATTACCATAATCATCAAATCAGCATTATAATCAACTTCTTTTAACCCGCGCCCTGCTGGGGGGGGGGGTGTTTGAACACCCCCCCTTGTGGTTTTTCGCGAATATCTCAAAAACGGCGGCGCGGAGCGCCGCCGTTTTTGGTACACCTTATCATACATCAATTCTACACATGTTGTAAAAATTTCAGACCAAGGTCATTTAAGGTCAGGTCACCAGGTCACTTGAACTGACCTCACCTCATAAAAAGTTTCAATGTCTGCCATAGCTACACCGAGTGACCGATCGCTTTGAAACTTTAAGCGATTGCTAAGAGCAATAGCATGTACAAAATGTATATCTCAGAATTTTGATATCGATGACCTAAGGTCAGGTCAATTTTGCGACCTCCCCATTATAAGTCAATGGGAGAAAATTGAAATGCGCTTGTTTTGGACAAAAGACATTATAAACACTCCCAAACACTGAATTACAAGTGGTTTAGACTTACTGAACATGAAAATGGTGTCTGTGACCCCTGTTTATGCCCTGAGGTCATCTTAGGTCACGAATGGTATCTAACAGTTTTTCGCAAATAACTTTTGATAGAGGCATGCTAGAGCAATGAAAACGCCTTAGATGTGTTCAGCTTGACGATACGGATCGACTGATATGCAACATGACCCTTTCCGGTCAGGTCATGACCTTGACCTGAGGTCAAATTTTCAAGTTGACCTTTCAAGGTCAAGTTATAGTTCATTCGATGCGTCTTGACGAGAGGAACACGATGCCGGTAAAAGTAAGCTCGTACAAGGCTTGGGTCAAATGTTATTGCAGAAAAACTGTTTTCGAAAAAATCGGCCATTTTTGCAGTTTTTGCCCCCTGCAGGCAAAACCGTTGACGTTAGGTCAAATGAGAGAATTATTCAGAAAGGGCGTTAATAGGGCTATCGAATGCGCTTTCCGCGGCGCCGTAGCTCTATTGGTTCCCGAGTTATGCGTTGGCTTCTTGGAAATTGTCGACATTCAACCTGGAAATCGGCGAAATTTTGCCTTCAATGACCTCTGGTGACCTGACCTTTGACCTGACCCAAAAATTGACCGAAGTGATTTCGTCATTATTTTTGGCGCTCTTTCGAACGCCGCCGTCCGCGTATCGCTACGTGGCCCAGGAGCCGAGTTAGAAGGGGGGTGTTCAGACACCCCCCCCCCCAGCAGGGCGTGGAATCCAGGACCCCCAGCCGGGCGCGGGTTAATGAAACCCCTTTTATTTGAGTTTATGGACAATCATGAACTAATTATCATCAGAGCCAAATATCCTGGTTTCAGGGCACCAACCAGACT